ATATTCTATTACAGTTTAAATGAGTTTTTATTGACTTATTTATTTATTTAGTACTAGCGACTCACCCTAGCTTTGCTAGGGTTCGTCCCTAGGTTGATTCCCCAAACAAACTTTCATCCCCATTTTCAACCCTTTTAAGGGATGATTTTCGAGATAAAAAGTATCCTATGTCCTTCTCAGGATCTCAAAATATCTTCTTACCAAATTCCATCTAAATCGGTTCTATAAATCTAGATATTACCCCCCTACAACGTCAAATCTTTATAATATTAGTATAGATTAAAGTACGCATCCGATAAGAGTACGCTGTGTCAATAACCACGATGTTGTTTACGATCCACGGCTAACTTCAGTATTATTTTGAAGTGTAAGCTAGTGAAAAGTGATGTGCAGAATAAAAAGAAAAACCCACAAAAACACAGGAATTACGTAAGTTTAAACATTTTTGTTAATTTTCTGAAATAATTTTAACATTTTGGAAGTATATTTGCAAAAAAACAGCATTCACCTATTTAAAAAACTATTATTTAAAAAATTGCTTCTTAAAAATTCAATTGCAAGATTTGAACATTACAAGTTTAATTAAAGCTTGTAAAAAAGGAAAAGAAATAAAAAATAAGGTAATTATCGCTGCTTATATTATCACGAAGAGCAAAACCTCGAGACTAATTAAATAAACAAGTATTAATAAATTAATATACAATGTAATTAATATATAATTCAATGTGATATGCAAGTTGAATAATCTCATATAACCAAAGTACAATAACTGAAAGGAGTTAGATGGTTTGTTTTTTGGTCATGAATTCAGTTACCATATGCGACTTTATTAATGCTTAGCTAGCTTAATTCCCCAAAACAAACTTTTACCCCCATTTTCACCTTCTCAAGGGATGATTTCCGGGATAAAAAGTATCCTATGTCCTTCCCGGGGGCTCAAACTATCTTCTTACCAAATTTCCTCTAAATCCGTTCAGTAGATCCAGAGATTACCCCCTACAACATCACAAACTCACAAACTTTACCTCTTTATAATATTAGTATAGACTAGAGGTAAAAACGCCAACTTCTCTAGTCCGAGTTCTCATTGAGAATTTCTAATTCGGTATAAAAAACTATATCACTATATTTGGTCATATCTGGGACTCGAATCCAGGACCTTCGGATTTGTAGCCGTATACTGGCTAGCTAGATGACCAAAACAGTTTAGCATAATCCCCTAGTGGAAAAAAATGGCAAGGAACCAATGAATTCATCATTAAAATCCCATTAATATTATAAATGCGAAAGTTTGGATGGATGGATGTTTGTTACTCAATCACGCCAGAACAGCTGAACGGATCTGGATGAAATTTGGCACAGAGATAGATTATGGTGTGGGATAGATTTGTTTTTGTCTAGTTAAGTATATTTGTAATTTCATTATATTTCCTTTATTGTAATTAGAGGTTAAAAAAAATTAAAGATTTGTTATTCTACTAATATTACAAATGCGAAAGTTTGTGAGTATGTCTAGTTGTTTCGATGTATAGATAGATGTATGGATGTCTGTTACTCTTTCACGCAAAAACTACTGAATCGATTTTAATGTACAATATACTCTTAAATCAGAATAAAACATAGGGTAATTTTATTCCGAAAAAATGTATGGTTCCCGTGGGTTAGATTTGTTTTTGTTTTTAAAAGCGAGGGTGAGCCGCTAGTTCAAAATAAGATTGTTTATTAAATGTAGCTTTATTTTATTACAATCGATATCTTATCTAATTTACTAGCGATTGCCCCTTCGCTCGGGTTCATCCCTAGCTTGCTTTCCCATACGAACTTTCATCCCCATTTCCAACCCCTTAAAGGATGATTTCCTGAATAGAAAATATCCTATGTCCTTCCCAGGGTGTCAAACTACCCCCCCCCCCCAACGTGCGTTCACCTTTTCGTGGTGGGGGGGCTCAGTAGTGCCCGGCAACCCAACCGGGCGCGAAGCCAAGAAACGCACAGGGAGGTGGCCCACTTCGGTGGGCGGTGGGAGGTGGCCCTCTTCGGAGGGCGGTGTACCATGCGGGTTGCTCCTGGTACTTCTCTGATAGCAGAGTGGACCTTGGAGCAACCCCGTGGTTGTTGTGGTCTGCTTTGGCTGACCTGCCGTCGGGGCGTCGTAGTTGAATGCGTAAGCGATCCTGCGACGCCCCATTAAGACGGGGGAAGGCTTTGTTGGGTTTTAGTGGGTAGTACTGGCTTTGCCGGTGAGTCCCACACCTCGTGCGTAAATGCATTTCCCAACGTTAAAAAAAAAAAAAAAAAAGTGTGTCAAACTATATTTTTACCAAATTTCATCTAAATCGGTCTGGTAGTTTTTGAGTGCATTCATTACAAACATACAAAAAATAGCTAAACAGTTACTAGGCAAGACGGTGCGGGGGGGAGGGTTGGTGATTGCATCAAGCGAATCGAGGCACTTTCTAGCGTCCGTAATTTTTTTGCGATTACTCCTAAGATATTAAATTAAATTATGTGATGTAAAGAGTAAAATAATGTGCATAAAATGCTTAAAGTCTCTAACTGATTTAAAATGATAAGAATTAATACCGTATTTGTGTAAATAGAGTTTACATTACCGCATTATAATTGCCAATTTTTATTAATATTAATATGGATATAGTATGTTATCCTCAGGAGATACACATATGCCATCGCGGACTTTTCTGTAGACCTATATAAGATACACAATTCCACCATACATTATATTGTTATATCTCAAAGTGTTTAGGCAGCGTTTTCGTTGAAAGCTTCCAGGCGGTTTATTTTCTTCCGACACCTCCAACAAATATCGTTATATTTTAGTCAATGTATACAAAAACTTAACAAATTATACACTAAAACCTTCCTCAAGAACCACTCTATTCATTGGTGAAAAGAGCATGAAAATCGGTGTAATAGTTATTGAGTTTATCCCTAACAGACAGACAGACAGACGCGGCGGAGGTTTTATAATATGTAGTGATGCCATTCGTAATTGCTGATTTGGAGAAAATCTGTATAATATATGAAGCTAAGGAGTTTTTTATTTAAACGCAATAATATCTAGAATAATAGCTAATTAGCGTTTTATAGTCATTAGAAGTCCCGCGGCATCGCCCGCGTTCAAACTTCCGTTCGCTACCAAACTTCACAGTATCACCCGCTAGCCTAATCTAAACATTACCTGAAAATTTCATCAAAATTGCTCTAGCCGTTTTGGAGTCGATAGGCAACATACATACACACATCGATTTTTATATATATAAAGATATAGATTTATATCGCAGTACGACCAACGAGAGTCGATTAATTATTCCTACAAAATTAAACGACGCAGGCGAAACCGCAAGAAAACGCTACGCAAAATGCCTACGACTTCTTAGTTCTAGATACCTCAAATACAATTTTTGACGAAATATTTAAAGAACCTTGACCTCGCCACCACTTAAGATTCATTATCATTTTATGTTGAATGTCTGTATGCATATCACGACCTATCACATAGTTGGCTAATTTAATCATTGGCATGTGTCAGCTGTTAAGGTAAATGACCTCTATCTAGATATTATAATTCATATTGGTTACATGCCCTTCTTAACGTCTCACTGCTGGGCACGGGCTCAATACGAGTGGGATCAAACCGTGGTCCACATCGCTGGCCAAGTGCGCGGCGGACTTCATATGTCTTTCGAAAACTTGCTAGGTTCCCTAAGATATATGTACATTAGTGTACCTAATTCCCATGCGGTTTTCATGAATAGAAAATGGGTTTTATATATAACTAGTGTTTTCCCGCGGCTCCGCCCGAGTAGTCCCATATCAATTAAACGTTAGACAGTTATGTTGAAAAAGACTGTGATAGTGGAAAACATTATAATCTAATTATTCTACACTAATATTAAAAAGAGGTAAAGTTTGTGAGTTTGTGAGGTTGTAGGGGGTACTCTCTGCATCTACTGAACCGATTTAGTTTGAGACCCTGGGAAGGACATAGGATACTTTTTATCCCGGAACTCATTAAGAGGGTGAAAATGGGGATAAAATTTTGTATGGGGAAGCAAGCAACCTAGGGACGAACCAGAGCGAAGCGAGGATGAGTCGCTAGTATACCATAAAATTTATTTTACCATACAAAATAAAATCATATAATTCATTAATTTCCTGTGCTTCTACTATAAATAAATAATGGGAAATCTATATAGCAAAACAATACAAACTGATGGACGGAGTTAATAACATTCATTATGGCATGTAGTATATGTCCAAATAAAAATATTAAATTTATATTGTTTATGGTGATAAACAATAGCATTCCCAAAGAGTGTTGACGTCAGGCAGGCGGCCGGTCGTAAAACTTTTGCCAAATCCTATCACCAGTACAGAAGATGAACTGCGCCGACCCCAAGTGATTGGGAAATGGGCAGGGAGAAGAAGAAGATGGTGATAATTGAAATTGTTATTTATAGATCGCCGGAAGAAACAATAATAAATTGTAAAACGTTGTGTAAAATAATAGCAATAATTAATTAACCAAAACTGATCCTGACATCCTCTGAATTATAACTTATATTTATTTACTAGCGACTTACGTTTTAACGTTTAGCATAGAATTCTCAGAGATGAGATATTTTCCCGCAATCAAAAGTATCCTATTTGTTGACCCGGATAACCAGATATCATAGTACAAAATTTCATCAAAATCCCTCCAGTGGTTTTTCCGTGATGCGGTAACAGACAGACAGACAGACAAAAATTCTAAAAACTATAGATTCGGCCTCTGTCTCGATAATAACGACAATTTCAATAAGATTTTCCAAAAAATATTTAATGTATATACAGATACGGCTCAGTGAGAATTTTATTATATGTATAGATTTAAAATCCAATACTTTTTGCGTGAAAGAGTAACAATCCTCAACCAATTCATAATATTATTTAATAGGATTAAGTATAGTATAAAGTAGAAAATATTATAAAAAACTTACTACAGCAAATTGATCTTTTCTTCTTATCCTTCGAACATGACATAGAGCATTGCTCGTCGGGGGAACCCTCAGCTTTCTCTAAATTGTCTATTAAACTATGCAGAGACTCTGCACACCCTGCATTCAAGTTATTCGAAGAGCTGGAACATGATGACGTCACACTTTTGATTGTGAGGTTTGGTGTGCTGGTCGTCATTGTATCTGTAAAGAAATAGTTTTGTGTTATTTCTGAATACATTTAAATAAATCTTTGTTTATAAATCTAAACGTAAGAAGTAGCCAATTGGCAGAATAGATACCTAATCAGATATTTTCGAAGTCGGTGCCAGCCTACAATATTATCTAACAGGTAAATATGACAAGGTATGAACTCTAATTATAATAGTTAAAATATTATACATCAAGTTGTGATGTATTTCACATATCGAAATATATTAGATTTGTTTTTTCATCGGCTTTCTGTAGGCCTATTTAAGGTCTACAATTTTTTAGTACATTGTTTTGAATTTTTCTATTCATTAGGTACCTATGATTAAAATAAAGGACAAATCCATACTCCTTACAAAGTTTGCTCTTGTGGTAGTTATGATAATAGATAAATTCTTTTTCTTGAATTATCACATTTGAAAAAAAAGTATACAATAGCTATGATGTTTTTAAAAATACCGCGAATTTATTCTATTCAGAAGAACAAGAAGAACGTTTTCATCAAGACGTCATGGAGTTCGAACACCGTTATCGGGGCCAATACAACGAAAATATATGAGAGACAACATTTAGGGCTTAGTGAGAGAAAGTACTTATAAACATGAAAGAAAAGTAATAGGGTGCACTATCAAACTTTTGGCTCAGTTGACGACACGTTTAGCTCAGTTTGTAGTTACCCCACTTGCTGCGCGCGGTCGCGGGTTCGAGTTCCGCTGGAGGCATTCATTTGTGTGATGAGCACAAATGTTTGTACTACAGTTATGGGTGTTTATATTTATGTATGTATGTATTTAAAAAAATATATATGTGATAACACAAGCCACGTAGCTTACCATGGAACTAGAGATGGTGATGTGTGTTAATGTCCCAACAAAAAAAAACTTTTTTCTTCTAGGTATTTATGTCATATGTTTTTTTTGTCTAACTTATCGATAAATCTATCGAAATTTCATATTCTCTTATCAAAGACAAAACTCGTGTAGACCTATGTTATTCTTCCTATCGTCTATTAAGCAATGGTTTTTGTTTTGAAGTTTTTTTTACAATATTTTTTTGTGTTTTTGGAACGAACTTCCTTATGGGACGATGCTGAGGGGTACCCCAGCCGGCAAAAACCCCCCGTAACGTCCGTAACGAAAATGTGCGTTCGCTATACAGTGTCTAATGTATAGTCTACGTGATGACTGTTATTATTATAATAATTTTTTTTATGGATCATTGTGAATAAAATAAAAGTGTTATCATAATTTTGTTAAGTGGTTTTTGATTTAAATATTATACTAGCGACTCACCCTCGCTCCGCTGGGGATCGTTCCTACTTACGTTGTAACGTTTAGTATAGATTTCTCAAAAACTACATATTTTCCCGCAATAAAAAGTATCCTATATGTTGACCCGGATAACCAGCTATCATCATACCAAATTCCATCAAAATCTGTCCAGTGATTTTCTCGTGATGCGTTCCCAGACGGACAGAGAGACAGACAAATATTCTAAAAACTATAGATTTCGGCCTTCTATTCCAGCTCATAGTCTATTTCATATGTGTATACTTAATTTCATCCGTTTAAAAGTGACGGAGTAACAAACATACACACAAACAAACTTTCGCATTTAAAATAATATTATGTGCGATTCATTGAACAACACATTAATATTCAAAATAAGTTAAATCAAAATATTGCAAACGAATTAAAAAAAGTATTTTTCGTGTATTTCAAACCATTTATTAGCCACAATGATACTGGCGGTGCGGTGCGTTTCCGCAAAACCTCGTGTTGTGGCAATCTCTATGAATATTCAAAGAGGAGCCAGGGTCATAAATTACGAAATTATTTCACTTGTATCTACCAAAAATTTTATCGAGTGCGTTTAACATGACGAGTATTATCAAAATTAGCGACTTGAACGTTGCTTTGCTCGCGTCTAGATGTATTTTATACTAGCGACTCAACCTGACTTCGCTCGGGTTCGTCCCTAGGTACGTTTTAACGATTAGTATAGAATAGATAGTCTATATACTGTTATATGGGTACATATATTATCTTATTCTAAGTTAATTTTGACGTATTGTTGTAGATGGTAGGTCCACCTCTATTGAAAGTAATCCGAAGTAGTGATTCGCATACAAAATAACCAGTTCTGAACTTTTCGATTTTTCAGCTGTTCTTATGGGTTTTTCCTAAAAAAATATATATTTACACCATCCCTGATATACCTCCAACAAAACAAAAAAAATATTCAAATCGGTTCAGCCGTTTTTGATATATATATATATATATATATATATATATATATATGTATAATAGAGAGCAAAAGCAATCTGGGCAAGCTCGCTAGATCATAGACCTTATGTCTTCCAGCTAAGATGAAGGTCAAGAGTAAGCCCATTTTTAGACTTTTTGAGTACAAAGTTTCATCAAAATCAGTTTTAAGATTTACAAAATTTTTGTTTAAATAAAATCTTACATATTGACTTTTTGTACTACGACTTCTTTAAAATAAACTTTTTCTAGGCCTAAATTGTTTTTTTAGCATTATTGCGAAACCACAATAGCAATATTTCCAAGAAATTATTTTTATCATTCATTCTATTAAGAACAACATTCTAATTTCGAATATTAAAAACAAACCGTTTTAGCGCATTTAGATTATTTAGACGATAAATATATGTAGGTTAAAATAAATATAACAATACATTAAAATAAATATTTATCATGTCCCCATAACATGATACCCGGATGTTGAGATCCATGTCTCTAAAACTTTTTATCTTACTGTAATAGTTATATACCTATACATATATAATAAAATTCTAACCGAGTCGAATCTGTACATCAAATATTTTTTGGAAAATTTTATTGAAATAGTCATTATTATCTATACAGAGGCCGAATCTATAGTTTTTTTAAATTTTTGTCTGTCTGTCTGGGAACGTTTCATGAGAAAACCACTGGACAGATTTTGATTAAATTTGGTATGATGATAGCTTATCCGGGTCAACATATAGGACACTTTTTACTGTGGAAAAATATCTCATCTATGAGAAATCTAACGTTAAAACATAACTAGGGACGAGCCCAAGCGGAGCGAGGGTGAGTCGCATGTAAATTATAATAATATATTGTTATAGGTATAATTTAAAAAAATAATATTGATCTGTTCGTTTATAATTTGTATTTGTAACATCGCACCAGCGCGGCGGTCAATATCAATAAGAATAATCAGCAGCACCGCATAGTTGAAACCCGTTTCATCGTTCCGTTCCTAAGATATAACAATAAACGGGCTTTTATATACCTATACATATAATAAAATTGTAACTAAGCCGAATCTGTACATTAAATATTTTTTGGGAAATTTTATTGAAATAAACATTATTATCGATACAGAGTCCGAATCTATAGTTTTTACAATTTTTGTCTGTCTGTCTGTCTGTATGTCTGTTACCGCATCTCAGAAAAACCACTGGAGAAATTTTAATGAAATTTGGTATGGTGATAGCCGGTTATCCCGGTCAACATATACGATACTTTTTACCGCGGGGAAAATATCATATTTCTGAGAAAAAATACAAAAACTGCAATGTAAGAGTATACTAATATGTAAAACCTAAGAATTTGGTTTTTGGTCATCTGAACGCGGGCGGAGCCGCGGGCAATGCTAGTTTAAAATAAAAGGTGACGCTGCTTGTTAATACCAAAAGAACCTAGTGGCACACCCAAGCGAAGCAAGACGTAGTCAGTAGTAAATATATGTATGTAAAATCATTTTAGCATATGAGTTTATTTAGATGATAATAAAACATAAGTAGGTTAAAATAAATATAAATATGTTCTTTGAACTTTTATCAGGTCAAATATTCTAAACAAAAGTGAAGACTGTTAATCTGATATGACGACGCTCTCTAACTTTCATATTTAAAATGTTTATTACTCATATATTTTGTTTTATCTATATATACATGTAATAAAATTGTAACTAAGCCGAATCTGTACATTAAATATTTTTTGGAAAATCTTATTTAAATTTATTATTATCGATACATAGTCCGAATCTATAGTTTTTAGAATTTTTGTTTGTCTGTCTGTCTGTCTGTCTGTTACCACATCACAGAAAAACCACTGGAGGGATTTTGATGAAATTTGGTAGGGTGATAGCTGGTTACCCGGGTCAACCGGGGCTTAGTAGATGGATATAGGATACGTTTTACCGCGGAAAAATATCTAATTTCTGAGAAAATATACAAAAATTGCAATGTAAGAGTACACTAATATGTAAAACCTAAGAATTTGGTTTTTGGTCATCTGAACGCGGACGGAGCCGCGGGCAATTCTAGTTTAATAAATATAACTGGAGAAATCTTTGTAGTAAAAACAAACATTTACTTCACAAGAAATTTATCTAATTATACTTTTAATAACAAATACCGTTTGCTTTCTTTAAATATTTTTATTAACTTTACTTGTTACTATGTAATGAAATATTGGGGTCTAGTCAATTTTAACATACTTTTGATTTGACATCTATACTTACTATTATAAAGAGGCAAAGTGTGTGTGTTTGTTTGAACGCGCTAATCTCAGGAACTACTAATCAGATTTGAAAAATTCTTTTTGCATTAGATAGCCCGTTTATTGAGGAAGGCTATATATCATCATGCTACTACACAAGCGAGCGGAGTAGTAATCATAAATGTCAACAAATCGGGCAGACTTCCATACATTATTGTCAAGTGAAGGGAAAGAAGAGTTTGTTTTTTGTGCTTTCACCGCGGGCGAAGCGGTGGGTTCTGCTAGTGTACATATATTATATATACGTACGTAATGCGTATGTATGTTTGTAACTTCTCCACGCTGATACGGCTGGACAGATTTGGATAAAATTTTATTACACTGATAGACTATGAGCTGGAGTAGCACTTAAGCTACGGTTTGGCATCTAGGCATGCATCCGTGCGAAATAAGGGTTAAGTAATTGATAAGAAGCAAAATTTGATACCATTAATTTGATTTCACGATGCCAAGAGGCATGTTCTGATGCTGAATTATTAGTTTATACTATAATATTATAAAGAGGAAGCTTGTTTGTTTCAACTCCCTAATCTCAGGAACTACTGATCCGATTTGAAAGATTATTTTTGCATTAGATTACCCGTTTATTGGGGAAGGCTTTAGTATATATTATACAATATATAAGTCAATCTATTCCATACTAACCATTAAAATGTACATACTTGTAGAGTACAAAAATCATTTATAGTAGAACTTTAACAGAAAAACTTAATTGAAGCTTAACGGGTTAAGCTTTAGCATGGATATACTAGCGACTCAACCTCACTTCGCTCGGGTTCGTCCCTAGGTACGTTTTAACGATTAGTATAGAATAGACAGACTATATACTGTTATATACATATATTATTTTTTTCTAACTTAAACTTGACGTATTGTTGTAGATGGTAGGTCCACCACTATTCAAAGTAATCCGAAGTAGTGATTCCCATACAAAATAACCAGTTCTAAACTTTTCGATTTTCCTGCTGTTCTTATGAGTTTTTCTTTAATTTTTTTATATTTAAACCATCCCTGATATACCTCCAACAAAACAAAAAAAGAATTATTCAAATCGGTTCAGCCATTTTTGAGTTTTAGCGAGACTAACGAACAGCAATTTATGTGTGTAATGCAGACATTAACAATGATTAAGCCCGTACAACCAATTCT